ATATTGTTCTCAGGGAGAGTATCTACCGTCTGCTGCCTCAGACCACCACAGAGAACATCAGTAAACACTTTGAACAGTACGCCATTGACCCTGCCACCCGCTACCCCAACCTTAACTCCAGCTGTGTGCGCCCACACCAGGTCAGTCCTACACTTTATATACTCACACTTTATTTGTATCATATATGTTACAAAAAGGGTAGATGAAAAAACTAGGAATTAAATAAGATGGCTAGAGTCACAAAAACTGTATCCTTAGGTGCTTTTATTAACAGCCAAAATGCTGAAAGAACACAAAGTAACAAGGATCACGTACAGCAAATAGAAAGAAAACAAACCTCAATATATATTTACAGTTCGAATAAATATAACTGGTACCTCTCTGCTCTACAGCCACAGTCAGACTCACCTCAAAACACTTGTGGCCAGAGGTTTATATATGTTAAGCTCCTCCCCATAGGACAATCCACTATTTATACCCTTAATTACTGTTATTCTTATCTACAAACATATTCAAAATGTAGTTCAAACTAATTAAACATAATAAATCAAATAGGTCAACATATTCTACATTTCTGACCACAGAAGCCTTAAACAATAACACTTTTACACTTGTAAGAAAATTGTCACCCGTGCCCATGCACTACATGGTATGCTCCAATTGAGCACAGGGGTTTCCACTGATTGAGCCTCTACTTAAGACTGCAGTATCTGTTGCTCTGTTTGGACTTCACAACCTTGAACGAGAGGGTAAGCAGGTTGCTTTGGCACAGCATTGTTATGTATGACTTCAAATAAAGCTGTCTTGAACAAATAATGATGTTTTATTTCATCTCCAGCAAAGTTATTAATGTGTTTCCCTCAGTGTGCCTTTTATCATGCCCCTATGCCAACTGTGATGAAGGTGTCTTCTTCACAGTATATAAGTATATAAAGTGCTGATGCCTTTGCACATAACACTTGCATTTGATTAAAGACCGATATAAAAGGAAAACAACAAAAAACAAATGTGGATCTTCCTTTAAAAAAATAATATTGGATTAAACTCTTTTATTTGATTGATAAAGAACAGTTTTCTATTATTGTGCATGCTAGATCTGGGATGTTACTCATATGTTTTTAAAGTGGCACATACCTAAAATAAACTCAACAATGACTTAGAAATGCTACTGTGGTTTAAAGCAGCAAGCTCAGACATGGTTTTTGAACTGATTCTTCTACAAATTCTGCATTGTGATCAACAGCTAGTACTTAATATTTTTGATCAACTATATAGCAAAGTGTTCCCACCTTTCCTGTGAGATTTGGGTCAACTGCAAATCCTATAAATCCTTCTGTTTGCTTTTACAAGTGTCTCTGTTATTGTGTTTCCAACATTTTCTATCTTTTCCTATCTTTCTCTCTATCGCCCCTATTTGGTTCTTTCAGGTGCGTCACCTGTTCATTGATGGCCAACAAGACTCATGTCGCATGGAAAGAGGACCCACACGTAGATCAGCGAACTTGTCCAAAATAGGTGAGATGCAAAATATCTATTGTCTATTTTCACAAAACCCTAACCACAAATTCTTGATAGATGACTGACACATTGAGTCTCATGCTGGAGGAAAATGAGAGTGAAATAATATATTGTTGAGGAATACAAAAATGTGTAAATAGTATTTCTTAAGACAGTAAAATGTGTCAGAATAGAGAATCAGAAAGTATTTTGAAATGAAGACTATATAAAGTGATTATAGGGAAATTATTATATTAGTTGATTCTGCTATGATTACAAACTGTCGATGAATCAATATTATAAGACAAAGTAGTGACAGTGAGGATTGCTGCTAACCGCTCTCATGGGACTGTATTCTACTCTAAAGCTCCCTGTCATGCCGTTACAGTAATCTGATCCTCCCATGAGCCACCACTGACATGCAGCCCCATTTAAACTACTTGAGAGATTACTTTACACTGACTCAGCAGGTCAACGACGCATGATAGCTTTAACAAAGGCTGTGCCAATTTAACATTCTGTATTTTTAACAAACCCCAGTGAACTCCTGAAAGCTTATTCGAAAAATGTTTTTTGCCTTCTTAGTGAATGCCTAACAAGCCCTCACTGAGGGCAAGCTTTAGCCTTATCTCTGTCACAGGCTAATACACTTTGTCACAGAATACATCCGGTTAACATTACATTCACATGAGGGTCCAATACCCCGCCTCCAACAGACATGTGCTGACCTACTCTGCACCAGCAGGGTTAGACAACAGAAATGTACACAGCATTTAAGGGGGGCCATTTACATATATTCCTATAAAAGTTGCTCAGTGATGCATGAAGCCAAAATGGCCTGCCTCTCAAAAACAAAATACAGATCTTCCCTGGGTCTTCCGGCAATCCATTGCATTCATGGGGCCAAACGAGTAACTCAACTTGCATTTCCCTTAAGCCCCGCCTCCCAAGCACTACGTGACATCTGGTCTCGGCTCAGTCAAATGAATGGAGAGGGAAAATAAATTTGTTAACAGCTTTTATCACATTAACTAGATGTAAATGTAAATAATGACTGTTTACAGTTTTCGGTTAAGTCTTCTTTTTATTTACATTAAAACAAATGATACACTGATTTACAGATGTCTCTTTCCAATGTAAGTCAATGGGAAAAAGTATGTTTGGACCCAATGGCATCACATGACTGACACAGAAGTTGTAGTACCACTGTTTGGACACTATAACAATATACCCAAACTCGCGGTGTACCTCCTTGGGTTAGATCGTGGGGCTAATATAGGTTTTTTTTTCCAATGATGGAGGTTTCTCCCTAAGAGGTTCAAGTCATTGTGTAGTTAAATCACCCATTACTGATTTAAGGCTTAACATTGTGTTTCTGGCTGCCTGATGAATGGAAGTCCAATATTTGCTCTACTTTTAGCTCCGTTTATGTCTCCAGCCGCTACTATGCTTGGTCGCTTCATAGTGTTTCCTGTTTAATTCTGGTCAAGTAGTGTACAGTGGGTATATCTGATCGTATACACAGGAAACACATGCATATTGCTGTTTCTTGAAAACAGTGAGGTTTTCAAGAAGTTGTGAGACCGTGTAACCAAAGCATTGAACTAAAAGACTATTTGATACACTTAGCTTAAAACTAATAAGCTTATAAGCTTGAGAAAGTTCTGTTGCATCCTTGATTCAAAATCACACTTGGAGAGGTAAAATAGAGTATCATCGGCATAACAGTGGAAACATACCATGTACCATGTTTGTCCTAGGGGAAGATTGCAAAGCATAATGAGGGGACCGAGTACTAAACCCTGGGGGACACCATGAAGGACTGTGGCAATGGAGGATTGGCAGTTTTTTGCAGATATATTGAGGATATAATGTTTGTGTTTATAGTGTGTAAGGGGGTGTATATCAACTCATTTTCGAGGCAGCAGTTTGTGGTACTTTTTGTCTCGCAACATACAAAGATGTTTCCAATATTTAATCCATCCCATTTTAATCAATGAGGGGGGGCTATATATGAGAAACCCCCTTTAATAGAACACGAAACAGCACTGCAAATTACAGTCTTAAGAAAAACCATAAGGTTAATTCAACCATGAAACAAATTTCCATTCCTTAACGTCACAGATCAACTAAGAAATCCCGCCATGACGTTAGTTATGCATTTCCAAGCACATCAAAGCAATTGCTGCAGATCCTTTAAGTAGGCCAGTTAGTGCCCTGACCTGAATGCCTGCTCTGTTTGTGAATTTTCTGCCAAGTTACTCTGCTTGGAGCATGGGAGTTGATCCAAATCTGTGAGTCACAAGGCTCAAGTGGAACCCAAAGGTACAAATGCGGAATGATGGAATTACTGCTGTATGTGTAAGGCAAACTCACTTTCAACCAGCTTGACAGGACGTTTCTGACACTATTGTTTGTTTCATTGTGTCATGCAGAGTCCGAGGTGCGTCCTGGCCGGCTGCTGACCTGGTGTCAGAAGCAGACTCAGGGCTACAAAGGAGTAAACATCACCGATCTCACGTCTTCCTGGAGGAACGGCCTGGCCGTGTGTGCTCTCATACACCGCCAGAGGCCTGAGCTCATGTAAGAACACACACAAAGGCAAAATGAAACACATGTAAATCTTGGCGGTTAATCAGGTCTTAGAGGTTTTTTTTGTGGTTGCCTGTGAAGAGCCACCTGTCCAGACTGGCTCTTTCTGAACCAAACAGCTTAGTAATATTAGTAAGCATGAGAACAAAAATCTTTCTACTGAAGTAAGGTGTAGTCATCTCGCAGTTTAGAAACAGGAGTTGATCAGTTAAGTTTTATTTTCTCAGGAAATCTTATTACGATAAGGATTTATTTTGGAAGAGATAACTGAGAAAAAAATAAAATCCACACAATCTAATAAAATAAATCGCATATTATTAGAAATATAAGCTAGTAAAGCCTCACAGAGGCATGAGTGTCTCTAACCTATAGAAAAACAAATTTCTTCTGTCTAATTTAGTCATTAAGTAGTCCCCCTCTTTTCTTGTCCTTCCTCTTTTTAGCACCTATTTTGTGTATGTTTGCTAATAATTATGCCACTAACTTATTTTCGTTTCCTTAAGAACGCTACTCGCTAAAAGTGGTTTCACTGTTCACGTTATCATACACGTCTGGTTGGTTACTCCAATTGTACCTACCTTAGCTTTAATATTGTCTTTGCATGAGATTGCTTTATCATTTTTCATCACTGACATCATCGCAATCAGTTAAAGCAACATCCCCTCTCGTTTTGATCTTTTCCTCATGCGTCACTTCACCATCTTTCTCCTCTACCAGTGCCAGGAATATGGAGGATGATTGAAGAAAGAATAAAAACCCGAACACTAACCATCACTCACTTTTGTTCTTGTCAGTGACTTTGACTCTCTTAACGAGGAGGACATGGCAGGGAACAACCAGCTGGCGTATGACGTGGCTGAGCAAGAGTTTGGCATCCAGCCGGTAGCGAGGGGAAAGGAGATGGCTGCGTCTGAACCTGACAAGCTGTTGATGGTTCTCTACCTCTCCAAGTTCTACGAGGCCTTCAGGAACTCCCAAGAAAACAACAAGGGTCAGTCTCATTCCTGCACCTCTCACAGAGAAACAAAACCGGGTTGATTTGCTTAGCTAGTTCTTACATTAAGGAAAATGTGTCTCTCGAATAGTTGAGGGTGTTGTCCCTTCATATCTTACAACAGCAACACAACAGGGGCTAAATACCTTGAGGCTAGGTACAGCATCTGAATCAAAAGGCCAACTGAAATTGAAATATATACGAAAGTGTGTGTTAGAACCAATACACACACACTAGTACTCACTATGTCACATTTACATAGTAAGATAAAGATTGCAGCTATGAGCGGCTGGTTATTTAAAAGAAAACAACTCCGTAACTACACTGAATACTTTTACTTTGAAATAGTGAAACCAGTCAATCAGCAAGCCATCAGCTGCTATCCAAAAATGGCCGAGTGATTGAATTATATTTTCAATTTGATGTACTTTCATGTTTTTAATTTGTGGTATATTTGCAGATCTGTTTTATATGTTCAAAATATTTTGGGAATTTCTAAATATTTTTGAAGGTGTTTTAGATTTACAGATTATATATTTACACACTCATTGTTGATGTGTTCACACAAATAATATTGAGACAAACTTTCATCCATACTCTCTTGAAGGATTTGATCTATAGGCCTACTGAGTTTTAGACAATTTATTTTAGGTGTATGTAATTTACAGCAGTATTCAGCCCCAGTTTATAATTCCACTTTACTGTATGAAAGTGGAATCCAGCCATCCAGAACAAGTGGGTGGGGTGACACCCAGGGGAGTTATGCAGTGCACAGTTACATTTGTAACTAACCACCCAAGAAAGTGCGTAACACTATACCCTACCAAAAATAACTGTGAATACAGAATGTCCTCAACCTTTGTTCCCTAACAGAGGGTGAAATATCACTCAAAATATTATTATAAATCACATGATACTGCCCATACTGGCTCTGCCTCTGCTTGAAACACCTCCATTGGACTCCTTATTCACTTCCTTAACATAGTGACATCACTATGAAATACTTGCATGTCTATTGTCCAACACATTGTACATGATATGCTAAGGGGTGGGACATCTCTAAGCGGTTGACCAATCACAACAGAGTCGGCCAGCTAACCAATCAGAGCAGACTGGGCTCTGGTTTCAGACAGAGGGTGAAAAGTGGTGCTTTTTGAACTTTAAAGTATGGAGACATGTCACTGGAGAGACACTATTTACAAATATGAACCTGACAATGAGCATTTATATATATTATATGTCCTCTTTAAAGTAAATGCATCTGATAACAGCTTTAGCAAATTAACATGTAATGTACTGTAACTAAGAACATGTAAAGAAGCTAACTGGGGTCACAGTCAGTGTTCAGTACATTCTATTAAAGTACAGATCCGGTAGTTTTTCACTTAACTGAGGCTCAGGGACTATTTTCTCCAGTGTGTGAGCTAGTGTTGCACGTTACACAACCGCGGCGGTCAGGTCGGTCCCTGCCAGAGACACGGCTGGTATGTAGGCTATGTCTGTGGAAGCCGTCACTCTGCAGAAGTCTGGAGGCCCTCAGCTCCAGTCACACCACATTCAATTTGAAATGCTTTACTGGTAATGTCCTGTGGACCTCTGTGTCACCTGCACTGCTGTCACCACACAGTAATCCACACTCTGAAGGGCTGGGAAAATCATTGATCTCCAGTGGAGCTTTTTTAGAGACCATTTGGTGGGAATTCTACTGAAATGACCTTGGTGTCATAAGTTGTTATGAAAAGTTACATCGGTGGGTTTTGTTTTCAATACTAATGATTTTGTATGAAAGGTTTGAGGATATACCCCCCCTCCCATTATATAGCTCCTGTAAGTCATGTCATTATTGCATCCTTGAAGTTATTCTGAAAGCTTCTTTGTTTTAATCAAATTAGACAATCCTGGGGAAATGTTTTGATACAACTACTAGGAGCTGTGTCATCAACTACTGTGTATAAAACGGTTTGATTCTTCTATGCAAAGATAGCTTATGAGTAGATCAACATCAGATGTTGTTTTGTAACTTCTTCAAATAACAACAAATTGTAATATGTGAAAAATGTGCAGCATCCGAAAAGGAAACCCTTCCTTTCAGCTCAGAATAAATATAAATACCTCTCAGTATCTGGTCAGAGCTCTAGATTTAAATCAAGATGTACTGTTTCACATACACTGGTGAGGAAGTGAAGAAGTACAAGTACAAGCCACCTTGGGTTAATGAAAGGAGCTATATCAATTAAAGTTATTATTATTTTACTCAGAAAAGTTTACATAGTAACAGTAATACTTAGTAAAAATACTCAAGTTAAGAATCTGAAATGTGTATGCAAATATAGTTACCTGAGTAAATGCACTAAAATAACCCATCTTGGAATGTGAGGATAAGCAAAGCATAGAAATGTACCTTGTACCTAAACATGTTACAAGTTGCTTTATTTCTAAATTGTATATTAAATGTGTCCAACCCCTTTTTCTAAACATCCTCATTGTTTGATTAGAAACCTGTCTCAAGATGCTTTCATTTGAAATGTACGTATGTTTAATCAGTAGTATGTTAGGTTAAAGCATTTGAAGAACATTGTTCTGAGCTTTATGTAAACCTAATATGACTGTGTTTCAGGGTTCTTACAGTCATTAAAAACCTGGAAAAGTCATTGAAATTCAAAATGCTAATTCCAGGCCCTGGAAAAGTTATGGAAAACAATATTTTTCCCAAAGTTTTGGGAATGTAACTAAAGTTGCATCAAATATAATTTATATTTTATCTAATCGCCGAAATAGTAATACTATAATGATAATAAATACTGTATCGTATAGTAATGAAACGTAAAATGGCATTTAACTGTCGAGGTATTTCGCTGGTGAGAGACTTGAGTGGCCTTAGCGTGTAGGAGCTAGTAAGCCTACTATTGGATTTGTTTTAGATAGGCACAACATGTTTCATATGCAGACCTTATTTTCCTGTTCCATGTTAAATTAAACCATTTTCAGTGGTACCGCTGAGAAAAAGTCATTTCTTTGGTCATGGAAAATTAGGTAAAGGTCATGGAGAAGTCATTGAAAATCATTGGTGAAAAAGTGTATGAACCCTGGTGTTTGTATTGGAATACAAACACCAGGGTTCATACACTTTTTCACCAATGATTTTCAATGACTTCTCCATGACCTTTACCTAATTTTCCATGACCAAAGAAATGACTTTTTCTNATACTTTTTTGTATTCGCCTGACACCTTATAGATGTGCAACTACAAAGTGGATTAGGAATGAGTCCTAAAACCCGGAAATGAGTTAGCATTATACCTCTTCCGGCTCCCACGTCTGAACGTTTTTTAAAGTTTTTTTGCTAAGATGCCCAAAACAGGAAAAACATTATTTACTTTCATGTCTGACTATTCGGTGGTGCAGGAATGAGTCCTACACCCGGAAATGAGTTAGCATTTTAGCACTTGCATCGTCTCAAAGTTAAACATTTGTTTAAGTTATTTTTGATTAGCAGCCTGAGATACGATCTGAGGTTTATACAACCTTAAGACTTTGTGTAAGTGGGCTGCCGCCGAGCCCGGGAGCGAAGTCCTTACGGAGCACACACTGAGAGGAAGAACACAGCAAGGTTAGAGAGGGGGGGACATGCTGCATCAAGACACGTTTTTGATGGTTGTTGATAAGTTCCAAGCTATTTCTGAAAAAAAGTACACGAGAATTAGTTAGTCACATGGTCCAGCGGTGTGAAAACTAATTATTAAAAACAGTTGCACCCATCATAGAATGTAAAATCAGTGAGGGGTTACAAGGAACTCAATATTTTAAGTCTATTCTCTATGAATAAGTCGTGCAAGGAAGAAAAAAAAAAGTAGTGTTCGAAGTTTAATTATAACAATGGAAAGCAGATGTACGTAAAGCAATACGTAAAGGTTATTTCAAGCAGTTGTTATTATTTGCTTTTTTTGTCAATAATAAAATAAGAATCGTCAGTACCCCCTGTGAAACCGGCAACATAAAATTAAACAAAGCAGATTTAGTGGGTTATTTTGCCCTTTACAGGGGGTGGCAGGCCGTTTTTTTTCATCGTACAAGCTAAGCTAGCTAGTTCCCGCCGTGTCAAATCTTTATGCTAAGCTAACGTGTGGCTTCAGATTTACCACATAGATGTGAGTAGGATCAATCTTCTCATCTCGCTCTTGGCAAGAAATTAAAAAAAGTATTTACATGGAGATAAGCATCAGCTCCTGGCCAGCGCATCTTGTTTGAATGAAACGACAACTGCAAGCTGCGGTGAACCTCGAGTGACTAGAGCGATACGAATATTCGCATCGCGTCGAATGTGAACGCAGTATAAGGCATTTGAAACTCTTTCAAGTTATCAATATCCTGTCGTCACAAGATTCCAACACAAGAGTCGACTATTTGAAACTAAAATAAATAGAATTGCGACTTGAGTTCCACTCTACCAGACCACTACCATCAGCAGTGGTCCACGAGAACTGCAAAAATGTGAGGTCCGAGTAACCATTGCCAACCCACATATCAACCACTTCATTCATGAGTCCAAATGGAAGTGTGTAACAAATTGTAGGAAATTCCTTCAACGCTTTCCTGAGATGTTGGGTGACTGACAATGGGAAAGACTGTCGAACTGAAAAACCCCAAAACATCATGGCATGGTTATAGAAGGCGTGGAGGCGTACAACTCAAACAAACATGAACTCTGGGTTAGATTTCTCTCTACAACACCCACATGCATCTTACCGGCGCTGCATTGGGCCTGTGGTCTGTCTCATACAGGACGGCCAGTTTCTGAGCCTTAGCATCAATTATTGGCGATACCTTTCCAACTGTACGCTAACGGGAACGTCAGGGAAACACAGGAGCAGGAGAGGAAGGAAGGGGGAGAGAAGGAGGAGTTGGAAACCACAGACAAGAGTTATAAGGAAGACAGATGAAAGAGCCGGAAATGTATCTAAATGAATGGTAGTGCCGTATAGAGTAGTACCTCTTTCATGTAACGAGGAGCTCCTGTCGGGCAACTCTCAGAGCGAACAATTGACTTTTGAATTTTATTAGGTTTCTCCATAGTGTTGCTGCCAATACACTAAATAGAGACATGAATAAAACATCAGTTGTGCAATTACATGCATATATCATATGAAAGCTGTGTGCCAATAATATTTAATAATCTTTGAGTTCCTACTATACCCTCATGAATTCTCAATCTAACACCACCCTCTCCTTCCAGCTTTCACCTTCATATGTTTATAGCACATACACCTGTACATAGATTTCTCTTGCACAATTCTCTTCCTTTTTGCCTTGCACTATTTATATTGGTTTTATGTATTTCATATTTTCTATGCTTTAGCTATGTTGCTATGACAATAAAGCCTTAGAATCCTGAGAATTCCAGAGGCAGGAAATTGAAAAATATGTGAGATCAAAGATTAATGAATCCTAGACTGATATTAATTAACCACAAGGCCTAATTAACTATATTCTAGCAATGTTACATACCAGAGTTTTAATTAGATTTTACATCCGAGTAATAGAGCTTTGGTCAGACTAAGGCTTATTTTCTGGGGTAAACTAAAATGGCACCCCCCCATAACTGCTGTATATTTCCTACAGGTTACTGTTGTTTCAAGGAATTCTATTGTTCCTCAGTGCAAGCTCGAAAACATTGTATGCAAACCGCAAATGAATGGTCCTTCGCTTTAAATGCTACTGTTAGGCAGCTGTCATCTGAATGATAGATTTCATGTCATAAAATGAACCTACTTTGTCTCAAAAGCTTGGAAAATAAGACAACATGAACTATTCATTGTCCTTATTGTGTTTCTATGTAATTAAGTAATCGATTAACTTTGTCATAGACCAAGAGGTCTTTGAGAAATTGAGCATAAGATCTGCAGTTTTTCTGCTGGATGTTGATCTGCATGAGAAAGGGTTACCTTGATGTGATCGTTTTTGTCTAATTGCGAATCATCATGAGCACTTTTGCAGCTCTTCTTCTGCTCAGTTTTCAGATTTTTCCAAGAACTTTGACTTTTTCCCTCATAGTTTTCGTTGTGCGGTAAAGAAGCATGGTGGGGAAAGGCGCTGCTGTGTCCATGTTCACAGCAAGTCTCAGAGCAAGAGGAATAAAGGGCATCAGAGGTTTTGTTGTTGCATGAGGAGGAATCGAGAACAGGAGAAGAAATTTGCTCAGAATCGGTGTGAGAGGAGGAGAAGCCGGTCTGAGCGGTGGGTTCAGGGACCGGGTGGACCACAGGGTACACCGGTGGGCTCTGAGATACAGAGAAGGAGGGAGGAGGAGGAGACAGGGACAAGGAACGACAGGAAGAGGTAGGTAACTCCACCTACAGAATAAGAGTCAGACATTAACACAGAGTCACAGAAACTTGATGACATGAAATAAAAGCGAAGAGAATCCCACAAATTATCATGAACATGCAATATTCTCTTGGCTTAAATAAAAGACGTGCAATCCACAACCTGAGATTTAGAAATTGGAGGAATAGGAGGAGGAGGAGGAGGAGGAGGTTTGTTGGAGCCAGGAAACATGGAGGCGAGGAGGTCCGCTCTCTCCTTTATATTCCTCCCTCTACACTCTCTAGCAGGCAGACCCTGGGCTGTCCTCTGCACAGGCAGCGGGGAGAATATACATGAGTGATTCAATACAAATATATTTGGTAAAGGTTGCATATTTTATCAGTGTTGGAGGAACTATTCAGATCCTTTACATAAGTACAAGTACTAATAAAACACTGTTAAAAGTAAGTAAAATTACCAATTTACGTTTAAATGTGTAATAGTGATTAAAGATGGAAATAAATGTATTCAAGTCAAAAAGAAAATTGCTATTATACTTAAGATCCCAAGTTAGTAAGTTAAATGTTTTTGAAACCTCTTCTTATGTGTTTTATGCAAACATCTATATGCATAAATAGTAACTCAAGCTGTAAGATTGATGTAGTAAAGTAAAACCTTACTATAGAAGAATAAAGTACAATCATCTCAAAGTTGTATTTAGGTGCAGTACTGTATTGTACAGAACTTTTCCTAAAGTCACCTGCTGCATCTCCTCCTGTGAGCTCTCAGAGGAGAGATGGATATCAGAAGCAGAGAAGCAACCGGGGTTCAGGTCAGGAGAGAAGCGACCTCTGGAGTACTGTTCACTAGGGCTGGGGGAGCGGGAAGGACCTAATGGGACCCTGGTAGAGTATGTGGGCGAAGGGGAGCGACTGGAGGAGAGAGGGTGAGGAGATCTGGGAGAATAGAGGGGAGGGTTCTGTGGAGCCACAGCGCTGGGATTCTCCAGGAGGCGGAGGTAGACTGAGGGCTGGAAACAGGAAGGAGAGGCGAGGAGGAAGGAAAGAAGAGAGGATGGGTTTACAATACTTATACAAAGATGACACATTCACTGTATGTGTTACTCATTACAATAGTAATGTTCAAATGAAACCCTGAGCAACAAGTGTACGGTGGCCAACAAGTGTAAACACATTACAACGGCTCAATAAATGTGCTGCAAAAGGTGCAAATATAATAACACAAATGTGCCAACACAAATGAATGTTCCCTCAAGTGCTCCGGTCCCAGCTGTGTGCGTCACTATTTAGTGTCGCCGTTTCCCTTGTGTTTTGAGTTTCTTGCTGCATTTTGTATTTGCAGCGTTTTTCTTATGCAGCGCTTTTAGTAAATGCTGCGCATGTGTTGTCAAGTTGGTGAAGATGTTTTTTTCATTTGCATGTGTTTTGGCACATCTGTGTTTCTATACTAGTTTTTGAAGTTGCAGCGCATTTTTCCAAATGGAGTAGATTTGGACCCTAAGCGTTTGCAACCGTCAGCCACCATACAATGGCTGTTAAGTGTGATGGAAGGTCTTTTTGGAGCATTGACTGGAAACAAAGGGTGTGTTTGTATTATCCAATCTGACGCTCTACACTCAAATAAGAAGCGTTCCATTTTTACATGAATAAATAAAAAAACGGTTTGTTTAAATACATGAGATAAATACTTCCCTATCTGTTCATCAGTGAAGATGCTAATATAAGAAATAATCATGATGAGACATGATAGCCTGTTGCTTCTTACAGTAGGCCAATGCAAATCAATTAGAATGTGGAGGCTACAGCTAAGATTAGGAGTGAGAGCAAATGTAAGCTAGTTACCCAGCTAAACATTTTATTTAATAATATGGCAACACAATTATAATGATTAATTTATTAATTAATGTTTATATTTAAAGATAGGAATAAGCTCACACATTAGTAGCATAACCCATCAAATCACATTCACACAAAGAGCTGAGAGGTCTCAGAGGGAGGCGTACCTGCCACTTGGGGCGAGGGGGAGCCAGAGGAGGAGGAAGGGGGACATTTTTGGGTTTTGCAAAACGGGGGTTTTCCCTCTCATCCATGTCCTCATCTTCCTCTCCTTCACTATCATTGTCCTCTGAGTGAGGAGGTGGGCTGACGGAAGGAGAAAGAGGAGGAGAAGAGGAGGGGTCGGATGGGTCCTCGTCAGACTAATGCAAGGAGGAGAGGAAAGGAAAAAGGAGACAGGAAATGAAGGTCAAGGGAAGGAAACAGTCTTGAGATTTAGTTAAGTTTGAAATTGCAAATACATACATTGGGCCAGAGAATGCCTTTACCAGAGATACAGAGTTGAAAGGGGGGAAATAGAGGGGATGACAACTTTCCACAGGCTCTGGAGTCAAACCCTGGTACTTAGCAGTGGACTCAGCAAATGGGTCGCCAGCTCTAACACTGAGCCATCTGGCCCGGGGACACTGTAGGCTTACTATTTATTAGCAACACCTTAAGATGCCTGAAGTCCCAGCTTCGCTTTTCAATGATGAAAACCAGCATGGAACATGACGTTCACCAGGAAAGATTGTAAAACTTAGACAAGAAGAAACTGTGTAAAAAATGTGTTAAAGAGGGATTTTCTTTATAGCTGCTTACCTAACCCTATTTTTAACAAGTAGTGCCTTGCCTGTGCCCCGCTGCTGCAAAGCGGCAAAGTGATGTTTGCTTCTCTATTTTCGATGCAAAGTTTTCTAATATTACATTTGTCACATACATTTCGAAATGGCAACACTTGGGTCCCCAGATATAGGCCCACCAAGAGAGATTGTACATGATGGTGGTGGGGTTATGGTATGGGCAGGCGTAGGTTATGGACGATGAACACAGGCCACTCGATTCACAACATTAGCCTAACCCTAATCCTAACCCTCACACCAGATACTGACTGGTTTTCGGACCCCCCCAGACCCCCCCAATAAAGCAAAAATGCATGTTTCAGAGTGGCCTTTTATTGTGGCCAGCCTAAGGCACACCTGTGCAATAATCATGCTGTCTAATCAGCATCTTGATATGCCACACCTGTGAGGTGGGATGGATTATCTCGGCAAAGGAGAAGTGCTCACTATCACAGATTTTTTCAGATTTGTGAACAATATTTGAGAGAAATTATTATTTTGTGTATATAGAAAATGTTTTAGATCTTTGAGTTCATCTCATGAAAAATGGGAGCAAAAACAAAAGTGTTGCGTTTATATTTTTGTCCAGTGTAAGTCCCAGGGGTGCAAACACACGTATGGTGAGAAAAGAGAGAACTATTCGAACCAGAAATGGTATGGTATGACGTCTTCGCACAAGGTCTCAGTAGTGTTTTGAAGTGAGAAGTTTTCAGTCAGTCCGTGAGTCGGACCCCCCCCCAAAACGAAAAGTCTTCAGTTCTCCACGAATTACACAAGTCACCCAAATCAGCGTTAAAAAAGCGGGAGGCGCCGAAAAGCTGAGACAAAGAGAAAACTTACTCAGTACTGGACTCGGGAAAAGTATTCAAACACTCCATAAGAGGTGTAAGTGTGGTAAAATATACATTTACGTTGCGAGTTCACTCAATGTATTGACAGGTACACTATGCAATCTCTACTAGCGTAGTGCCTTGGTGTTACGAAGGTAGTAGTGTCATAGATTTCCACCGATTACAAACCGCATCTGTATTTCACTATAGACAAAAGTCCGAACACTATGTGCGGAAAACTTCCGTTAGAGTTTCGGTTTTGGTTTTACTGGAATCTGCTCCCTGGACCCTTCACGAGTTTACGAATTGACTAGAGACAAAATACCTGACACAGGACGGCGTGAGGTAATGTCAAAGAGGAAGAGTACTAGCTAATCGACTTCCATTCAATACTCTAGTTCGCTACCAACCATTACCAGAAAGTAGAAACGTTATTAGACAATAAAAGACCGTGCCCCTATCTTTGACCTTCTCTAAGACAGCTGTTCCGCGCTTTCCCTTGGTAGCAATTGGAGGTCCACAGGTTTGCTGTCTCATTGTACAAACCTTCTAACCCGAAGTAGGAAATTTGACTAGAGTAAGAACAAGAGAGATAAGGAACACGGGACGGGACCGAGCGTCGACAGACAAGTCGTCACGCCGGGGAACGCCACTCCTCCCCCGCGCCCTCTGTCCACGCGAGGTACCGTTGCGTCGACGCCCGGTTCAAGGTTTGCTCTTAGAGGTTTCTCTCGCGTCGTTCCACTCTCCTCGGTCAACTTATTCGCAAGTCCTGAAGTACGTACGNACGTGATGGAGAGGCTGAGCGCTGAAGGATACTTCTTCCATCGAGAGTGTTTCCGCTGTGACGTCTGCAACAGCACTCTCCGTCTGGGGGGGTACATCTACGACTCAGAGGGTGGTACGTTACACTAACGCTGACTATGTACCTAAGCTTTTACACCACTCTTAGGTAGGTAACTTTTGTTCTTAACCTGTTAAGCCCCAAGGATTCCCTCGGCGTATCCTTTTTTTTTTTTCACGACACTGTCTCTCAGGGGATCTTAATATTTAAGAACCTATTA